CTGGATGCATGCTTGGGCACAAACGCAGATGCGATTACTGACTCAGTTTCACCAACCAAAAATACTCCTTTTTCCACCAGACCCGAACTTGGTGATTCACTTCAAGAAGCTCGATCGTCGGGTCGGTGTCTCACCCCTTATAACGGTCCGGGCTGGGGAGGGACGACCCTCGTGCCAACAGAGACCCCCGCGGGCGGTGTCGAGTGGCGGCTCGCTCAAGTAGCCGCTGGTGTTGACTCGATCTCGGTCGCAGGCCCGTATCGGACTGTTTGGTCTACTATCGCCGGGAGCCGCCGCCCGCGGCACCGTGCGGGTCGCCAGACGCTGTCCGCTACACGAAAACATGGTCCTGTCCGTCGGGCGCACAAGTCATTAGGTGAGGTGTATGCCACCACATCAGTTCGTAAAATCCGGCCCGTCCTGCAGGCGCCAAAAGGCTTGTGTATATGCACTGAAAATTGCCTTGTGTACCTATTGGGAAAGACCACTCTGTCCGCACGTAGAGTCTCAGATCTGCTCGGCAGGCGCCGAGCTGTCGGCTCGAAGATCCACATGTCGCGCTCACAGGCGAGCCAGCCTTGTTGATATGTGGAGTCGCAGGTCAGCCAGGCAAACGCATGACCCTGGGGCTAACACTCGCCGCTCGACAACAGACCCGCCGTTCGGTAGGCGTTGAAATCACGCGCTGGAAAGTCCAGGCTGGATGAAAGCGGTGGACGAGCATCGTAAGCCCAAAATGACGGACAGCAGCGGAAAAAGCAGTGGCTTAGCGAACTTGGCGAATATGCATGACTCATAACAATAAACACTTCCGTAAACTTCACTCTACAACAGATCTTGCCATCGCTTCCCCGCTGAGCATCTTGGTCAGTCCGCCAGAACTTTTCAGCGGTCCAGCCGGCCCAGTCAGGGGTCCCATCGCCAGCTCGGCCGCTGTGAGGACGGTCCCACGAAGCGTGCCCGGGTGGGGTCCCGGAGACGGTGTCGGATCCCTGGCGGCATCGGGTTCGGCTCTCGGTTCCTCGGTCAGGGCCGCCCGCGTCGTCCGGCGCCGCTGAAGTCAGCTCGGCCGAGCGCTCAGCCGGCACGGAACAGCCAGCGCCGAAGACGCCGGATGGGTGACGTCACATCTACGTCACGGAGGCGTGCGGCACGTGATCGCTGTCTTGGTAAACCGCACCGTCGGGATATAGTAGCACGCCAGCGGGAAGTGGTCGCAGCGACAATAGCCGCAGCCGCATAAGTGTCTTACCGCGATGGGAAACACTGGAAAAAGGCCAACAGCGAACGTACAAAATCGGGCACTTTGCTGATCGTTGGAGTGACAAAACCACAGTAAAAGCAAAGCATGCAAATTCGAATAGATTGCAGTGATTTGGCAAGCGAACAAAGAATCGGTGGTGCTAAGCTCGAACCTTGAAACAGCTACCACAAAGAGTTGAATAGAGAATACGTCCGAGATTAAAATAAAAAGATGAATGCTTACTATCGTTGTTTCCAATATAAGACCCACTCACTGATAACATTAAAATTCGGAGTAAAACAGGGCCTCGTCTAAGGAATTTTCACTGGGGGGGCAGAGACTGAAAGAGCCAAACCTAGGGTACCCCCAAATCCTGTTTTATCACCGGATTTAGGCCACTTGTTTTTCGTCACAGCCCTGAGACCATGATTTTTTAACAAATTTCTTTTTTAAATTTATTTTTCATCCCGCGCCGGGCCGGGGGATTTTGGAAGGGGGTTACCCTGCGGTTTTTCGCAGAAACGGCGTCAAGTGACCTCACCTCAGAAAAAGTTAGAATCCGCGTCACAGCTGCACCGACCGAGCGATCACCTTAAAACTTTCAGCAATTAATGAGAGTTACAGTAGGTATATAAAAAATGGATCTCTCGGAATTTTGATATCGGTGACCTAACGTCAGGTCAATTTTGCGACCTCTCCATTATTAGTTAATAGGATAAAATTGAAGGGCGCCTTTTTGGACGAATGCCATTCCAAACACTCTCAAGCATTGTGTTACAGGTAAACTCGACAAGCTGAACCGAAAAATGGCACCCATGACCTGTCCTTATGACCCTGAGGTCATATCAGGTCATAAAAGGTCCCATTAGTTTTTTGACAATAACTTTTGATAGAGACATGCTAGAGCGATGAAAACACCGCAGATGTGTTCAGCTTCACGATACGGATCGACTGATATGCAACATGACCTTTTCCAGTCAGGTCATGACCTTGACCTGAGGTCAAATTTTCAAAATGACCTTTCAACGTCAAATTATAGTTAACTCGACGCGTTTCGACAAGAGGAACACGATGCTGGCAAAATAAATGTCACTTCCTTGAGTCAAAAGTTTTTGCAGAAAAGCGTTTTTTCTGGAGGCTAAACCGTTGACCTGATGTCAAATCTGAGGACACACCGGCGAAAGAGCGTTAAAAGAGCTTTCGAATGGGCTTTTCAGCGGCGCTGTAACTCTATCGGTTCCAGAGTTAGCCGTTGGCAGTTTCCAATTTTTTTTTTTTAATGTACAAATTTTGACTTTTGATGACCTCTGGCGATATGACCTTTGACCTGACCTAAAAAATGACTGAAGTGTTTCCGTCATTATTTTTGACGTTCTTTCGAATGCCGCTTACCGCGTGTCGCTACGTGACCCAGGAGCGGAGTTAGACGGGGGGGGGGGGTGTTCAGACACCCCCGGCCCGGCGCGGAAGTAGCGGAGCACCGGCCCGGCGCGGGTTAACATTGTGTTACCCCCTCACCAGACAATGATAAACATACGTATCCGTGTTGGGCGTTTGATTGAGTGTGTGTGGGGGGGGGGGGGGGCACACACGAGTTGGGTCACTGGCCAGCTGCTAATTGACAATTTGCTACTTGGCGCTCTCAGCTCTGAAAATCACAAACCTCTGGCTTTTCCCGTAGCCATAAACAGTTTTTGAACAAATTATTTTATATTTCTCGTTAAATCCATGTAAGACTCCTGGCAAAAACGTATTGCAGATGAGGTACTTTTGTGAGAAGTTCACGTGTTGACTGGGGGGGCAAATGTTGGCCACTGGGGGGGCAATCCGCTCAACTGGGGAGGCAATTGCCCCCCAGTTAACATGTTAGACGAGGCCCTGGAGTAAAACGTGAACAGATATCACGACTCAACTCAATCGGGCACTTAAAACAACAATGAACCATTCACCAACAATCACAAAATACACAGCGCCACCTGACACGAGGTTGGCACTTGGTAGGGCACTACAACACTTCACCTGCCTATCGGAACACAATCCTTCATATGATGTCTCACATCATGACCGCGGAGTGGCACATTTACCCATATCCGCCCACATGCTCGTCATTATGTTACCGCACAAGTGTCATAGAGGCTGCAAAGCACTGCAGGACAGGTGCAGCTAAGCCACAACACGTGTCTCGAGCATTTTTATCCACGCAAAAAAGCCGCAGATGCATGTAAACCTTCCCAGTCCTCAACGTGCAATGACGCATATGTTTTGTCGGTGATATCATTTAATTACTCATTGAATCCTTCAGTCGCCGGAAGAACGCCTGAATAGCGAGCACGGCTCCTCAGAGACAGATAAACGGATTTCCGTTTCCGTCGAAAAGTAGACTTCCTGTGAGAGAACAAAGTGTTCGTAGAAGGACGCATTCCACAACCTCCAGTCACCAGTGAAATGCAGCTGTCTTGTGATGTCACTTGGCAAGTGTCAACAGCAGTCGTGCTTGGCAGGTCTGGCATGTTTGAGCGTTCAACACTTTTCCGTCGTTCCACAAGGAGTTGAGCCGGGATAATTCCGCCGCAGACATCACGCCGATGCGTCGCGTGAGAGTTGCCTCCACCCGAGCAGATTTTAATCACCTCGACCAGTACTGACGGAGGATCAGTGCTCCGGCCTCTGGACGCTCACTGTTGGCCCGTCAGTCAGTCGCTCCGTCTGAAATCTATCGAGAATGACCACCGTCCTTTGACCCCCAGCGGGGAGGAGAGGCGGGCGCGGCGGGCTATGATGAGTCAGAGTTTCCTTCCGCTCGACCTTGGCCCACCGCTCTGAGTCAGTGGCACTCCGGACCTCGGCGCCGCTGGCTGTCAGATGGTGGCACGAGTCACACGCTTGTCATCTCGCCGGTCATGAAACACTACAGCCCGCTGGTCATGAAACACTACGGCCCGCGGGGGAGTTGTCCTGGCCAAGCCGGTGAGTGCCACGAATACCAGGCAGCTAACCAAATGGGAGCAGAAGGAGCCAACACCGGACCGGCGCCGGGTCGGCGTGAGAGAACGCCAGGTGGCAAAGGTGCCCAGCAGCCGTGTCTTCGCATGCCTCATCCCTGACTCAGAGATAATTACGTACAAATCAGGTCAGAAACATGCGCACCTGTCACATTCCCTCGTCTGATCAGTGTCTGAGCAGAGAAACGGCGACTGAGACCGATCCGGGCCTGTCTACCGAATGCTGGTAGAACTCTGGCCCTCACTGAGACTGTCGGGCAGCCCTCTCCCAGCTGAGTCTTTCCTGAAAATACTGGCAGATCCAGAGGCGGTCCTCTCCTGGCACTCCATACTGCCGGCCAGAGCCATCCCCGCGGGTCCTCAGCTCTAGCGGCCGGAGCACGAGACCCAGGCTTTGCGTCAAGACGGACCATGCGTTGGAGATAACCCCAGATCAAACAACACCCGAACGGCCGAACAGCAGCCAGCGTTGGGCAAACCGTAACAGAAGTCCCCGAGATCCACTGTGCACCCGGCACCGTGCAGACCCGCCCGCCGCGCCACTTCTGTGCTGGAGCAGCGCTACCAGCGCGCGGCGGGAACCCGATAACCTGGATAGGATAACAGTCGTGTTATACGCTAGATATTCGATATACCGCGGATCTGGCCGAATGAAAGCCGCAGCTTAGGGTGACCACTGATCCTTCACATTTAGCATTTTCACGACCTCGTGGTTTGAAGGAGATCCTCGCAGGAGTCGGCTAAACTCGCGCAACTATCACAGACCTGTGTATATCGAGCTCACACCTCACTGGCACAGTCGGCACTCAATTCCCAGCAGCACACAGTTAGTCCACTCAGACGTATTCGGCGTCACTGCACCTCTAAGATCTACAGCTACTGCTACTGCGTCTGGTGCGGGCACTTCTACTGCAGCTGACCACATCCTAATGGTCAGATCACTGCACGGTATCAGGACATCCGAGCAAAGCAATGTGGCAGCACAAAGTCTATGAATAGCTAGAAGGCAGGCAAGCGCAAGTGGAAGAGGTATCACACAGATATGTAAGTCTTTCTCCGATGGCACAGATCTTGCGCTCGTAGTCCATAGTTACGTGATGAAAAGTTGAACATAACAGCGTCCTGCTGTTTCAACAAAAATTATTCTACAGTGCAAAGAAATAATTCTTACTTGTAGAGCATGATAAGCCTTACATGTTAAAAGACACCGTTTACAATAAAGCTGTAGTTTAGCAAAGAAATCATGAAGAACAAGAGCAAAGTTACGTTACGTCAGGAAGCAAGCAAGGGCACTGTGATTATCATATAATCTGTAATCATCACTTTCTCAGCAATAACTTTTCCTTGCTCTGAAGCGGCGCGATAGGCACTGCCCAGTCGACTAAGCATCTCTCTTGGTTCTGTCTGCTCCAACAAGCCTGGGTTTCACAGCACTAAGCCTACGCGCCTCTGCCGCCGCGCACACGGAATGAGCAGGCAGGTGCCGGGGCGTGAGTATTGCTACTACCATCACTGTCAGACGGCTCTCCTGCCTGCGTAGGAACTGGGAGTCTCGCTGCTCCAGCCGCCGGCGTCTCTTGCCGCTCACATGAACATGTTGTCGTAGTCTGAGCCGGGCATGCGCAGGTGATCGGGGTCCGGTTCGCCGGGGTGCCGGGGGCGCGGCCGGCCGCCCGGGCCCGGCCCCAGTCCCGGCGGGCCGAACGGGTCGAACCGCGCGCCAGGAGGCACACCGGGCCTGCAGACGAGACGGGGTAGGTCAGGCGTGGGTCAGGCCAGGAGAAGATTGGGTCAGGCGTGCGTCAGTCGTCAGGTGCGGTTCAGGTCGGGCATACGTTGGGTTAAGTCACATTAGGTCTACGTCAAGCGAGGCCACAAGGTGGGGTCAGACGTGGGTCGGGTGAAAGTTTGGCGATTGACGGTTGAAGAACGGTTGGTATGTCGTCAGATGGAAATGTGCGAGGGGCAGTAGGTTAGGCTGGTATGTGGTGTCTGAGTACGAGACGACGCGGCGGAGAAATAGAGGGCGCTGTGTTCCAGACACGAGTCTACACTACGTGGAAAATATGCTTATGTATCTGGATTCTTATGGAGCTATCAACTAGATATGACAGGAAAAACTGTTCTAAATTGCGTTAATTTGACACACTGTTTAGTACTAGCTCAATTCGAACCCGATGCACAGTTTGGAATTCGTGAGCGAAACTAAAAAACAAATTTACCTAAGCCATCATCAATGAGGGATCATCAGCTCGACCCAGGGTCAGTCATTCAGACAGACCCAAAGAGTGGCATAGGTTCACGGCGCGAAACGCGCCCAGACACTCACGGCAGGTTGGTGACGGGCGGCCGCCGGGGGTCCATCAGCATCCCTCCACCGAGACCTCTGCCCAGCGGGTCCAGGTCGGCGCCTCCCACCGCCAGCGGGTGGCTGTGCCGATCACTGGCCAGGGCACAACAGGCGTGAACGTGCTGGTTAACAATGGGGTTCATAGGTGGAACTTTGTGCCGAGCTGGGAGGGCCCGAGCTCTCCAAATTCGACACCGGCTTGGCTTTGGAGCCGCAACAGACCGCAGAGGTCAAGGTCACCGCTAGGGCAGCGGCGGATTTGCTGCGTCCGGGCCCTCCCAGTTCCGCACAAAGTTTCACCCGTGATGGGGTTATACGGCGGGACACGAACTGAGACACGATAAGACACACTGGAGATTACGGAACAGCGTAAGCATATGGATTTCAGAAAAGGGAATGAGGCAGTGGACATGACGGAGAGATAAAATACCTCGATTTCATAAACGTTTGTTCTGAACAGGAGTTATCTGTACAAGAGTTACGGCTATCAATTTCATGGGAGTTTGATGCCCCTTTTCAGTATCAAAGCACGTAAAGGGTAACTTGCTACTTCAATAAGACCAACACCAACTGTTTTAACTTTTTACCGTTGAAAATGAGCCAAGTAACTAGAGTGCAACTAGTGTTCGCATTTGCAAGCGAGAGCAAGGTATGTGTCGTCACCACCAACGACATGGTTGGTGGTGTCCCCACACGCTGGCTTGTCCCCTATCCCCTCCCTGACCAGTCACCTGCCGTATCCGGGGACCCGGAGCGGATCGACGGCCGGCTCCGACATCCTCCGCTCCTGCGACGAGCCTCTCCTGGGACTCCGATCCTGCACGCGCAGGCTGCGGAATCCAGGGGCCAGAGCCTCCACCAGCTCCTGGGTGATCTGGGGGAGGTGGGGTGGCGCATTACAGTCACCGGTCACAGTCAGATTGACAGCAGAGTGGTACGATTCAACGGATAAGACTCATCTTCAGTGACCATTATGGACGTCAGTGAGTTTGTGAACTACTGAGCAATCAATTAACTCTAAAAAGGGCTCGAGGATGCTACTAACCCTTCTTAAAATTTGTCCCATGCTCCTATGTAGATATCCACTGGGCAATTAAATGCCTTTTCAAACTTCACCTCGCAGAAATGCAAACACATAGATAGCAAGTCTAAGAATGACCAAAATGACCCAAAATTATTTAATTTCCATTGAAGATATACGTGCAAGTGTTCGCAAATACGAAAATAAGCAGCACGTGAGAGTCATGTTGACACATTTCCTCATAGTTGACATAAGCTAGCGCAACAACAAATGAAAAACATCATTGTCGCTAAAAAAGAGCCGATAAAATGGCTGAGTTCGGAAGTAATTTGCATAAGCATAATCACTATCCCTTACCTGATCTTTCAGAGTTTTTACATCCTTGTAAGCGGAATGGAAATCTTTGAAGTCGTCCGATACCATCTCGGAAATGGGCTTGTTGAAGACGGAAGTAGCATCACTGTCGACTTTCTACAAACGGAAAAACCGAGCGGTCAGTGGTCACCAGGGCAAAACACAAGGGACACAACGGCATATTGTCACAGGAATAAGAACGCCTAAGGCCCAGACAGAACGGCTTAACTGCAGCTTACTATATGTAGATGGCGATGCTTGGGTTATTGTCCTCGTTTGTCCCTGATCAGTGCACTGCACTGTAGAAATATACATGAGATGCGCATTAGTCCGTAGATCTTTGCGCATCCAGGCAGACACAATACCGCCAACGCACATACCAGGCTGCACAGAAATTTGAATTGCAAAGGATACCCGACTGCGCAGAAGATGTCCGACTGGTTCGTGTGTGCGTTGCAGAGTTCCGCGAGCAAAAGCGACCTGCCTAGCTACTGGCTATAGAGTTTCTGTTCGCCAAATACGTCCCTCAGTAGAAAAGGGCGGTTCAAATTCCAAGCCAGTGTCGCATTACTGGTCTTAGATGTATCATGCGTCATTATGGAAGCCTCGACATTTTCTCTCAGACAGTAAATCCGACAGTAAATGTGGAGGCGGCAACTCAATACAACAATCAAAGTTCTGATGGTAGACTCTTGGTACCAGACCATGTTTCACGTAGGACAAACGACAGTCTATAAAATCATTAGTCTACACCAAACACCGATTTCTAACTAGCTGTATGGAAGCAAACACTCACGCTCATGTTGGTGATGAGCTGTCCCTCGACGACGAGCGCCTTGACCAGGTATCGGCTGCGGTCGCGGCCCACGTAGCTGAGCTCGTAGACGCCCTCCTGGTCGGACCACCCGGGCGGCAGCACCTCGGAGGAGGCACTCTGGTTCGAGATGCCCTGCGATAGGCGGGAACGACGGGATTACAGTCAGAGGCTGTGCTGTGAGCCGTGTGGCGGCCATTCAAAACCCACGACAGGAGCAAGAATTTGACGTATAAAAAGAGGAAAAATGTACGGACAGGCCAGGCTGAGCAGAAAAGTTGGTCGCAGCATCATTATACAGCAATTTCAATAGAAGCCAAGTAGTAGCCGTTGGGCACCTAAATATAATGAACCATAGAATATCGTCAGATACCTTCGCGCATTTAAGATCGACACTGCTAGCACGATGCCAGACCTAGCGACATCCATCCAAGAGGGTCCGACAACGAAAAGGCCCCAAAGACCACCCCATACCGTTCCTACCACGACGCTGTCCCATCGGCCCGGTTCTCTTCTACTAATCTCTACCAAATCACTGTCTCATCGGCCCCACCCTACCCCATTCCCACCAGGGGCCGTCACGTCAGCCTGGCTTCACCCCGTCCCGATCACAGTGCACTGACCTGTCAGCCCAGCTATAACCCAACCCGACACACCACGGCACAGTCTCGTACCCTAACCAACCAACCCTGTCCCCACCCACCGACAGGCGACATCCCATATACATAGTAGATCTGCACCACCAATACCACAACCCACGTGGCCTTTGATTACCGCGGCTGGTCCGTCACTCTAACCCATCCCTATTCCCTACCACTGTCCCGTGTCAGCGCAGCCCCTCCCTTCCACCTCTACCCCTGCGTCCATCGGCCACCCCGTCTCTCCGTCTGACCTGGGCGGGGTGCTCGGCCTGCAGACCGGACGAGGCCAGCGTCCAATGCACGAACAGCATCGCGGCGTCTGCCGGCCGCTGCAGCGCCTCTCTGTGTGCCACGTGCACCAGCTCCAGGCCGAAAAACGGGTCGGCCATTGCACCGGCTTGAGATCAGCAACTGAGAGCAAACCAATGGGAAAGGTTATCACTTATCAACTGGTCAGGCCAACCAAATATAGGGTGTCCCATAAGTCTCAAAGCTTTTTTTCCTTTTTGTCCTGTGACAGTGCTATGCCACCGATTAGGACAAATGATACCTCAAACGAAAGAGAATGAACGAAAGTTTTGCATTTTCATGCGTGCAACACCACGTCAGTCAGGTGGCCCCCGTTGTGAGTCATACAAGAAAGAGCGAGCGCGAAAGAGCACGCTCTCCGCCGCCCTCAACTTCTCCTGATTTGCGACACTCTGTAGTCCGTTGTCACTTTGCCCGTTTCCTATCGGGTACAGAGCCTTCAGCCCTGTTCCCTGAAACGATCACGGCAAGCTGTGCTGCCAGCTGCCCGGCTTTCTTGTGCGCATGCGTGATGCTGCGCACATCTGCGGAGGACCCCGGGTTAGCTCGTTCCCCTTTACCGCGGCCTTCTGCAGCGGTCGTTTTAAATAAGCAGTGCGGTATGATGTCATTCAATTCCATTTCCAGGACATATCAATATCGGGAATATCACTCAACATTACACCAGCACCGGATAAAAGACAATCATCTGGAGCACTGAACTTCTATCATCATACTGTACTGCACTCCGAACTTCTGTGTTTCTCTTCTGACAAATCCGCGAACAAACTACTTCAAGCACGTAATGGCTTAGGGCACACTACATTTCGTACAGGGCATGGGCAGGTTCTTCGGGCCAAGTAATCCGATCAGTCTTCTCAAGCCCTACGAAACCCCACTTAAAGACTGGTTGCAACACCAGTTAGGTACCTCACACGGGTAAACTCCACTCCAAACATAATTTCAGCGGCTAGGAGCCCGAGGAGAGTGAAGTTAGATAAGGTAAGGTCTTGTTGTCTTACACCAAAACTTCTAAAATTGTCCGCTTGTGCCAAAAGTTCTTCGTCCGTTCGTGCAACGAAATTTTGGCGCAGTTATGCTGAACCCTGCACCAAAATTTTGCAGCAATATGCCCATTTCCTGGACATGTCGATGGTAACAATGATTTTTTCAGTCTGGATCACATGCCAATTTTGATTTTCTAAGTTGATCTCTATATCATGCTATCATGATATTGATATGGATTGTGCCTGTGGCAATGCAAATAGTGTGGTTTTTATACAATTTTCAGAACAGGGTGCAAAAGGTTACTGGATGCAAATTGCAAATATACGCCTCGCGAGGAGGGCGGCGACCTAATTACGCCGCGCAAAAGAACCCGGCGGTCCTAACTAAGACCTCACCAATGCCAAAGACCACTGCCGCCAATAACCGTGCAAAACATGCACAATTCAAATTAGATGCAAAATGCAAAACAAAAGGGCCTTGAAAAGAAGCGTTACAAGATGCATGACCTTGAAAAGTTCCCTACTGAAAATGATGTTCACATTGGCGCCGAAGAATGTACCTACTTGTCAGTTCAGTTGGGCAAACTAGGCGGCGTGAATCAAAATATGGAGGCATCAAAATATTGATTCTAGTGGGCGGAGCTTTGACCATATATGGGCATAGAATCAATATTTTGATTCAATTTGGGACGTTCCCACCTTCAGACGACCCGTTACGGCGGAAATAACCCCCATGACGGCGAGATTTTTCGACAAGTCAATTCAAAAAACTTCCCCGCTTCAATTTTTCGCTGCATGGCTATCAGCCGTTTGTCGCGCGTACCTTTACGGATGGCATAAAGATTTCGCCGCCATAATTCAACAAAAACGTGCTGTTAAAACTTGCTCTGTTTATCATTAACGACGAACCTTTGTAATTTTTTCATAATTTGGTCTAAAAGAAAATAAAAAATGCGTTATTTAGTTGTATAATTCATTTATAAGAAATATTCTTTTTCTTTGTATCTAGCCACGATTTCCGGTTCCCGCCATTTCGCGCCGGCGTCGTGGGTGTTTGGATGCAACGTAGTGCTCCCGGTTTTATTTTGTTTAAGCGACCTTTTCTGAAGTGTAAGTAACAATGGATCATATTTTAAGATACTTTGAAGTGTGTTTTTCAATTTCAGGCATGTGATCTTAACGTTTCTTACCGAAAACTCGTTTTAAGAGATGGTTTTAGGAACATGGCGCGGTAGCGACGTCAGCGGCGCGGGACGCCTTCTCACTTTTCTGTTGTCTTTTTAAGCTATATTTTTTTTGAAAATGATGTCTTAGGTGTAGTATTTCAGTGAAATATGATGTCCTTTAAAAGTTACGGTATAAATTAGTTACAAGAAGCCTAATGTTTTGTCTCACATGATAGAATTGTTGGGTGGACTCATGAAATGGGGGCAGTGCATGTCCAGTATTTTACATAATTTGGATGTTTTAGCCTCTGCTTGTGTCTCACTCACCCAATTGTTGCTACAACTTTAATTTGTAAGTGCAACAAAAGCAAGTTGCTGAATGGTGTAAGCCATATTTACATTATGCGTGATCTTCAAGAAAATTACCTATGTGTCTAATGTACGTCAGTCCAGGGAATGCTGGATAGTTAATTTTCAGGATTGTCCATGCCAAAGTTAATTTTAGAGGCCAGTTTTATCAACACAAATAGCTGCATGCTGGAATTTTTTGCCTAAAGACTGCTTCACATATGGAGCGTTAACATGATGGGCACGTAAACGGATAGGGCTGTACCGTTCATGCTCTGTATGTGTAGTAACTTTTAGACAAAAAAATCCAGCAGCCACCTATTTTTCTGTTGGTACAACTGGCCTCAGATCTACTTTTTTGGCAGAATTTATATAACTGCATGAGATGACAGTTGTTGGCTCACCTGGTGGCGTTCAGTGGAAATTTAAGTGACATTAAGTATTTAATTTTTTATTGAATATATTCTAAAATTAATAGTTGCTGAACAAATAGAATAATAGCACATATAGTTTCCTAATTTATTGTCCACAAATGTCCTAATTATTGTGTTCTGTTCTGTTGTTTGCTGCAGGTCAACCAAGGCTCAAACACTGGTCGTTGCGGGGATCGGCTTCAGAGGGTCAAGGATGGCGTCTTGAATCGCTGTTCAGTCGACAGGCAACTGTATGACAACGCCATCCCTGTCAACCAGAGCGTCGACCGAAGTAGGGCGGCGTTGCGCGGACCTGGCCGCACCCGACCAACCGGTGGAGTACCTGACTCGGGCTTTGCGGAGACTACCTACATCACGACCTTTTGAACTTTGATCTCGTAGCGAGAAACAATATGACGTAAGGAAGTGTGTATGTGGCTGGCGGGGCTGAGGGTGAAATGCGCCACGTGTTTATCCAAATGAAGCGAACCAAAACACAGACAGGACTGATTGCTTTTCGGTCGAGAATGTTCTGAAGATGCTGATCAGTACACCGATTGGTGACCGTTTTCGGTGGTAATATGGGATCTTGTGGTGTTCCAAAGCGACCTGCTTTGGGTGTGGACATAAGTGGCTCAACCTGACAGGATTGATGTTTTAGGTAGCCGTGCTAATCATAAACCCTATATTGAGTGTATCTGTACAAATTTTGTTTATATTTATTTCATGTATTTGATTCGAAACCGAAAATTGCTCTTTGTAATTAGGCAACATCGAGACGTTGAGGTCATTCTCCAGACGTTTATTTGTTTTTCTTACCTGTCCACGGTATGTCTTATTGGTTAGGTCTCAGTTTCAAATATTATTAACTGCATGTTTTGCAAATGCGTAGCCATATTGAATAAGAGACGTGTCCTAAAAGTGAGTATTGCTTTGCATGGGATGTGAGCATCAACGACAGGGCTTTGTGATGGCAAATGTGTGGCAATTGCAGGGATCTTTGTGAAATGTGTTATGAATATCATCGTATTATTTGCGAATGCAAATACATCCGTGTATCATATTTTCATTCAAATTGTGCAATTTGTGCAACGGGCTTGAGTATATTGTTCGGCGAAATATCTCTTACTGTACTCCACAGAAATGGGACGGGATACAGATGCGTAGAAACACATTCATGAACACGTGAAAGACGATAAGTTAACTTTTTTTTACTCAAAATCAATGCTACAAAGCAGGGATGTGGAGCCGTGAAAATGTCAGACGGCTTCGGCTCCGGAGGAAAAAATCGGCTCCAGCTCCGGCTCCGGCTCCGAGTAAAATGGTCGGGCTTCGGTTCCGGCTCCGACTCAGTACAACCCCTATACAAAGGTCAGCACGGCTCCCTTCACGCATTCCCTCGAAGGGTTGCAGCTTTGAGCAGGGAGCCAGGGTGAGTGCTGAAAATCCCTGGTCTACCGTGGGAATAAGGTCTAGAAAAAAATTACACGATCCTGTGCTGATAATATCTTCATGAATTTATTGAATTTGCATTATTTGCACACAAGAAACGTTCCATAAATCAATTTGAAGAGTGAAGTACGTCTGCAGAAAGTCAGTTCGCAGAATCAATATATTGATAAACCAGCTGATTTCAGAATCAAAATAATGATTAGCCAGCTGTTTGCGGAATCAAAATATTGATTCTCGCCGGGATTAGCCGCCGTGATGAATCAATATCTTGATTATTTTCAAGACGCTTTCCTAAACTAACCTAAGAGGTTAGGGCTATTGTTTCGTGCCTGGCGGGTAGCTTCAACGTTGCTCTTCATTTTGTGAAGAAACTATCTTGAAATTGTAGCCGGTTGCTGAAGAATTGACGTTTCTGTGATGGTCTGCACGTATGCCCATATATGGTCAAAGCTCCGCCCACTAGAATCAATATTTTGATGCCTCCATATTTTGATTCCCGCCGCCTAGTTTGCCCAACTGAGTTATGTTGTCAGTGCCGTTGGAAATGAGTTTGCAACGTTTTGCTTGGATACAAATTAGACAAGGTCAACCAAAAATAAGAAAACTATGATGCAAAGCTAAAAGCAGTTCGATAGGTGAAGGGCATTATTTTTATCGGTTTCAAATTGTGTAGTTTTGGTTTGGCTGTGGTGTAAAGACTACTTTAGAGCTGCGCAAATTTCTGAAACAAGCAATTCCTTTTTGTCGACAATATTATAGAGGTGAAAACGATGAATACCATTTTTTCATGAAGACTTCGACATTTTTTACCTTGAGTGATTTGTAAGTTTTTCTTGCTTTCTTTTTAAAAGTTAAAAATAATTGTTTGCAATTCGCCTGTGCAGACTTTTTCAATGCATCTAAATATTTTCCAATACTTGCGCAGCTGTTTCATTTGTGGCTCTGGAAAGTTTTCAGCGAATGTTTACAAACCGCTGTTTTCCTTTGGGTGTGTGCTGAGGGGTGGCGGCGTGTTGTGCTGAGCGTGTGAATCGTGGATCGATAGAAGGTGAAATGTCTCTTATTGAATTGTTCTTTGCCTTAATCCTCTTTTAAGTAGTCCAGGGATGGCTTCGGTACCACTGGCGATAATGACTAATTTCAATTTGGTCAGGCACCACTTTTTCGTCATCGAGCTCAAGCTCTGGCTCTGCTCGTCAGAGTCGTCCTCGTGCGAAGTTGATAATGAGCTTCATTCTGGCCTCATTTTGGGCTTTCAATGGGTTCATTTGTTTCATTTCATTAACTGTCTGTGTACTGAATTGCTGCCCTCTGCAATACTTTTTTGTTGCACTGTTACTGGAGGTTCCTCCCATATCCATAATTATTAGTGACATCAATTTCGACTTCCAAGAGCCTTATTCCTAGTGGCGCAGCTGTAGATTAGCTTGGTCCTGGGGCTGGCTGTCATCAGCAGGGGGTTACGGTTCTATACTGCCACATAAGGAGGGCTCAGGGTCAGGACTCAGGAGACAGATGACGTCACGGGTGTCAAGGTTTTGTCGATTTGTATGACTTTGCTGTTCAGTAAATTATCTTTTTTAGGCTCTAAGGGAGCCTAAAGGTTAACATCAATTTGCCTTATAGTATAAAATCCTTGGAAGATTAATATTGGGGAAGATTGTTAGACACCTGCTGACGTCATCTGTCAAAGTCACCTATGTAAACAAACAGCTAACCATTCTACCTCCTATTTACGGCTTTGGTCACCAGGAATCAAGGCCAGGGCCTCCCAAACTCTGGAGAAGCACTCATTCAATCCATATCCAGTGTATTGATATTTGATGTGATCATATGCCAGTCGGGGAAACTATGGTAAAATCTGCCATTTTTAGCAGTCTGCTATTTTTAGCAGAATTCTGCTAAAAATGGGTACGAATCTGCTAAAAATGGGTACGGTAAAAAGTACTGTTTGAAAACTGGTCAAACATTCATCTTTCACTCAGAAACACACTATTTTGCATGCAATGTCTATACTACAATTCTCACATTTTCAAATGAACCTATCATTTGCCTAAAAACTTTAAGGAACAATGCTGTAAATTTTGCTGATTCAGGAAGCCCCAAATATTATTAGAAACTGCTATTTTTAGCAGCTGCATCTGCTAAAAATAGCAGAAGATATATCTATGCATCTACTGATTAATGGTGAAATGTACATGTATAACTGAGCTTTGGCACCCCACGCCCACTCCATCCACCAGAGGAGGCAGTACACTGTTGCCTAGCAGCACCATCTTAAGGCAATGGCACAGTTGACCAGGCTGAGACAGAGACCGAGACCGAGACCGAGACCGAGACTGAGACCGAGACCGAGACAGAGAGCGAGGGAGAGAGCTTTTTACAGCATTCATAAGTGTGGAAGGTTTCTTGAAAACAGTCTGATTACTGCAATACGTGTCATCATGTACCCCACATATCAAAGTTTACTAAGTCCTAGCACGTCCAGACAAGACAGAGACAGTATGCATTTCAAACAGGCAAAAGCATGCAGACACATACAGAAATAACATCAGATTCTTAAACCGTGAAGCCCCATTACCCATATGGCCCTCGTAAGATCTGTGATAGACTCACACCATGCAACATTCAATATTCATCTGGTCACGCAATCACTATGCAATGATAATGATCAACAAATAAACACACACCCACACCAATGTTTTTTTAGGTTTGGCAATTTGATGTTGATTTTTGAAAATAATACTCATCTTGAGGAACAAAACATGTGAAAAAAAATAGTAAATAATTGACCACCAGCCTGCAGCCTGACGTGTTTGACTGCTAGACTGTGCCAAACTTCTACTCATTTCCCAAAAAAGAATTGTCTTGATTCAAAATAGCTGGTCATTACATACACTTTAAAGTCTGGAGAATAAGATGGAGGTAACATTTTTAACCAAACTGGATTATTAAACCACTAAAATGACATCCTAACCATTAAGGTTGAAAAGTCGTGCCAAGACCCAGCAGGGCATAAGCTGCTGTTTGAACAAAACCAGGCAATGCTATGTGCCAAATTTACCATTATAAGAAACACTGTGGCCAGGGTCATCTTAACAAACCACATAAACGGCTAAATTAACTATTAAAATATGCCTACATAGCTATTTACCCCTTCAATGGTATGACCTTGATAACATGTGTGTCAACCAATCATGCCAAATTGTGTTTGTTATAGTGATGGCCTGTTCTAGTAATGAATCTCAACCTTATGTATTTTTTTGCTAGATTTTGTTTTCAACATTATTTTCTGTCTATTCTTAATAGAAGAAACATAAAATACCTAAAACAATGACCAATTTCTAGGAAATTTCAGTGCATTCATCTTCCAATGGCAATATCTTATTAAAAAATAGTCGGATTTGAAAGAAAATAGAAGAGGACACTCTCAGCACTATTCTCATCATGAATGTGCCAGGCATTTGATGCGCATTTGCTTCAAGTAGTGCGCAAATCTGTTTATGTATGGGTCCGTACCCAAATCTGCTATATTTGGGTACGATGACGTCACGTGCGTACCCATTTTTAGCAGGTCCGTACCCATTTTTAGCAGATTTCTGCTAAAAATAGCAGACTGCTAAAAATGGCAGATTTTACCACAGTTTCCCCGACTGATGCTGTAAATATTATTTTGCTATTCCACCAGAGTCCATCTCCAGAATTACAGAAATGATATTTATTTATATAATTAAGCTCCAAGAATATGAAGAGCACCTTACTTGGGCATCCCATGGTAATTGCCTCTTTTTCAGTTTCCACCCTTTAAAAACTAAAGAAATTCACAAAGCAGGAAGATGAAAAGAAAGAAGACACCCTTTTAATCCCTGTACTCTAGGTTGAAAAGTAAGATCACAAATCAACACCTACAATACTTTATACACGAAGGTTTTGAGTTGCATTCAACCATATCTTAAGTCAGGAAAGGTTATTTTATGTTAGGTAAGGTTAGGTCAGGTTTGAGGTTAGATTAGGTTTTGCTGTTTTCATCTGTAGTGTTCCTTATTTTTCAGCATTATATGATCATACAATGTCCTAGGTTGATATGGTCTGTAACAATATGGTGTGGTTTTTATTCCACTTCGAGCCTAGGGTGCAAAAGCACAAGCTCACCCATGACCCATTCCATTTATATGGCCTTGTTATGCATTGAACATGTTACAACATTTCAGGCATTTGTCTTTGCATGTGGCAAAGCTCACACTTAAGTTTTTAACCACATGCAAATACATTTCATCATATTTTCAGTTATCAATCAGAACCTATGTTTTCATTGGTCTGTTTAGACAAACCTTAATTATTAGCTTTTGCAGTTTTGTGTGATTAAAAATGCATAATGTTGTGTTTGACAATTTTTTCATTTTTCAGGTGTTTTCCCTCAAACATTTTCTTTGACTAAGGATTGTACCATTCAAAGTGTACCAGAGAGGTGCATGATGAAGCTCATCTTGGGTGTTTTGTGCTCATTACTAATTGCTGGAAGCAATGGAGGTAAGCATTTATGCTTAAAATGTATGAATTGTCTTTCTGATCATTGTCATGGCATAATGTTAATGCCTTTTTAAATGAATTTCAAGAAGTATAGTACTTACGTAATATATATGCCATCACTTTTTTCTTTGGAATGCTGTTATTTCACTTGCCCCAAAGTCTCTGCTTTGCAATTGGGAAAGCATGGTGTAATTTGAAGAAAACTGCATATGCATGCACTCTTGAAGGGGTTCCTTGAAATGTGCACAGATGCCAAAAACGTTGCTTGTTTGGTGGATATGTTTGCATACATCATTTATAAATGCTCAAATAAAATCATTATTATGTCACTTTTTCTTGATTGCAACATTAGAAAGGTAAGCATGTAAGGTACAAGGTACAAGCATAGCTCATTGCTGCTTGGTCTGTTGCTGAGATGTTTCATGTTCTTTGAATAATGCAATGCCTATCATTTTCACAATCACTTTACAAGAACCACATGCGCGAGGACACTGCACAATGACAACCTGATTGAGAAGTGGAATTTAAAATGTCTTGACACGCCATGACCTGATGAGTGATGGTGACTGGAGCACTGGCCGGCCGCGGCGCTTTCGGCAGGCGCCGACGAGGCCGATTACACAGGCTCGTCGTCGCGCTTTGTGGTGGAGAACACGGAGTTTGTCGTGTCGTGCCGCGTGCCCGAGCTGAGTCGCATCAAGTGGCACCGTAACGGCGTGCCGGTGCCCGTGTCCGGGCCCGACTCGGGCTACTCCGTGCGCACCGAGAAGCGCGGCGTGTTCCTCGTCTCGACGCTGACGGTAGCGCGCGCCCAGCACGCCCACTCGGGCAACTACAGCTGCACCACGTTTGTGGACAATGCCCACGAGGTGATCGTGATCAGCGGTAAGCGGCGCACCGTCGCTAGTAACCCTCCCTCCGCACCAACCACCGTGACGGCAACGGAGTGGTATGAGCGTCACTAACAACAGGGACTCGTCTAAAAGGCTTCTTGGTTAGTTGTGGTTTCTCGTCAAGCCGTCCGTCTCGTAGCTCGGTTGGTAAGGTGTTGGAATTCTGGTGGTGAGAGCCCGGCTTCGAGTCACTCCAGCGCCCGATATTTGAGACTCCAGGGCCCTGTTTCACCGGTGATAGCAGCACGCTGCTTTTACACGTGTCAAATTGTGTTTCCATGGAAACATCAATAGGCCCATTGTTCCAACACTACCACAAGTGTGACGTCAGCTCGCGCAATTTGATAGCAGCATGGTAGCAGCGTCCCGTGAAACACCGCCCTGACGGGGATAGTCTGCGGTTAGTAGGAGCAGCCGCAGCCAGTTGAAGTCAGTTGAGTGGACAGACCTTGTCAAGCTTTGATGGCCACGCTTAACTTTGGCACCTAAATTTTCCCGTTACCTGGAGTTGCCCTATCGTACGGAGGGGGCGGGTCCTACGCAACAAGTTCTGCTTGGCGTGAGGTCCGGCTCTGTCAATCCGTCCATTCAAGCACTCGAGCTAAATTGATAATAAACGTTTTTTTTTCGTCATTCACTATGGTTATATCTTGCTTTATTTCTTACTTGAGTGGTCTTTAGACGAGCCCCTGACAGAGAAGCAGCTATGCGTTGGTGCTTAGTGATGTGTTTTCTGGGTGTGCTGTGACCCAAAGCCAGGTTTGTTTTTTGTGATGTCCTCAGAACCGCTTGGGCCAGTGATTTCGGTTTTTGGAATGCGTGGCCATCCGCTCCCAAGTTTCGTCTGAGGTCGGAGCCATTTTGGTTACACCTACTTTTCGTCTGAGAGGTTGAATCTCATCCCCGTTACCCATAGCTAACCAGTTTGAGTTCATCTAATTTTTAACCATTATATCAACGATATACTATTGCTATCATTTTTTTTGTGTACTTCCTCGTTTTGTTTTGTGCTGCCTATTTTTAACTACCGTTAGTTGTTGTTTTACGTTTGGCTGCTACTAATTTCTGAGAGTGAGGCAGTGTAATGGCTTTAATCGTTCTAATTTTGACGTGGCATATACCTTTGCTCTGTGCCAAGAATCGAGATTTTGTAGAGGAAGACGTTCCATTTTATGGTTCATTTTCGTTCGTTCTTCATAGTAGGTTTAATCGACCAATGTCGCAAGCTCAAATGATTAATCCGTCCACATGTTGCGCCCTTGACCGATGACTGTCATTGATACAGCGATCTCCGATCTTCCCTTGACTTTGGATTGTTGTTATATCGCGTTTGAATCGGTTCAGCGTCCAGCAACTGTATGAAGCATTAACCTTCGCCCTGGTGGGGGGGGGGGCCATTTTGGCCCCCCCCTGTGGTTTTTCAGCGATAACTCAGAAACCACTTGAGTTAGCGCCCTGAAACTTTGTATAGCTGTTTATTCAACATTTTTACATCATGTCCTGTTTTGGGGGGTTCGGGTCAGGTCAGGTCAGGTCACAAGGTCACCAAAACTGACACCACCTCTAAAAAAGTTCAAAGCTCTCTCAAAGGCACAGCTTTTATCCGATCGATGTAAAATTTACAGTACTTGAAGATGTCACCCAGCTCTACAAAATGGCTATCTCGGATTTTTTATAAATGTGACCTAAGGTCAGGTCAGGTCATCGCTGCTCCCCATTATAAGTCAATGGGAGAATCGAAAAGTAGTTGTTTTTCAGCTAAATCGGGCGTGATTGATCCTATATTTCGTTATTGAAGTGTCTTGGGTCAGCAAATCACAGCCCATGTGAAACCATTTGCTTGTGACCTCGCTGAGGTCACGCTAGGTCATCTCCCTGGTCACCAGAGGTCACCAGCGGTTTTTCTGCACTTACTTGTTATTGAATAGAGATAGAGACTCCGTTCGACGTTTATCGTGTTTGTCTCGTCAATGCGGATCGAATGATATGCAGCATGACCTATTTCGGTAAGGTCATGACCTTGACCTGAGGTCAAATTTTCAAAATGACCTTTCGAGGTCAAGCTATATATCATTCGACGCGTCTCGACGAGCCAAGCACGATGGTGCATGAATCGTTTCTCTATTTTCTCGTGAATGCATGCTATAGTTAAAAACATTTTCAACAAAATTTGCCAAGTTGACCTTGCATGACCTCTGTAGGCCAAACCGTTGAGCTGAGGTCAAATCTGACGAACCTTGGCGAAAGAGCTTGAAAAGAGCTATCGATTGCTTTTTTCCGCGGCTCTCTAGCTCTTCTAGTTTCCGAGCTACAGCGGAATATGTCCGGCAACACCGAAAACACTGAAATTTGACCTATGATGACCTCTAGCGACCTCAATATTGACCTTAGCGAAAAAATGACCGAAATACTTTCGAACGTACTTGTTATGGGCTTTCGTTTGCTTTTTTCCGCGTCTTCCTAGCCCTCTTCGTTTTCGAGTTAGACGGGGGGGGGTCATTTTGGCCCCCCCCACCAGGGCGAAGGTGGCTCAGACCCACACCAGGGCGCGGGTTAACGCCGATAAAAAATGACACTAGTTAAGAGGTGATACTGCAACTTTTGTTTGCTTTGAATGGTGGTATGGTATGACGTTCGAAAGTTCCCTAGCGCACAAGTTGTTACGGAAGATTTCTATACTGTCTTCAGTTTAAACGACAAAGCAAACCGAGTGATGTTAGAAATCTGCTGTGTGTCGCAATGTGAGATGTGTGGCTGCGGCCAAGATTACTTTACTTATACTGGAGACTACTGCTGCCGCGCAGAGAACCTGGCTGCGGCTACGTTGCTTTGTTGCATTTCTGAGGAATCGTATAGCCGTGGACGCCGCCAATAATTCCACAAATTACCATAAATGACCCTTTGTTTCGCGAGTTTCTGCGGTTGGAACCTGGGAGCTGCAGTCTGTGGCCTTGACCTGAGGGTCACTGTTTGTGTTGCGAGCATCTGCTGCAATTCTTCGGTGAGATACTCGGGCTCCTGCACATTGCCTTTTAAGGCCATGTTTTACTTTTATTTTTATTTTCTTTCTCAATCTCAATTGTAGTTTTGTTTTATCACCACGCTACAACATCTCCACCGACTCCCTCTCAGCCACCGTTCCAGCCGCCTAACAGGCGCTGTTACCAAACACCTGTTTACCGAGCACACTGTTTCCAAACACCTGTTTGCCGAGTCAAATGAGTCACGCGCACCAAGTGCTCAGTACTCCGCCGTCCGCCCTCCGTCGGCTGAGGAAGCTGTCTAGCTCAGCTGTTGGCACCGACCGGGCGGCGGGCTTGGCGGCGAGCCACTTATTTTAGGCGGCGCTGGAACAGAGGCCGTTCGACAACGCCCGCTCTCTCTCTCTCTCTCTCTCTCTCTCTCTCTCTCTCTCTCTCTCTCTCTCTCTCTCTCTCTCTCTCTCTCTCTCTCTCTCTCTCTCTCTCTCTCTCTCTCTCTCTCTCTCTCTCTCTCTCTCTCTCTCTCTCTCTCTCTCTCTCTCTCTCTCTCTCTCTCTCTCTCTCTCTCTCTCTCTCTCTCTCTCTCTCTCTCTCTCTCTCTCTCTCTCTCTCTCTCTCTCTTTCTCTCTCTCTCTCTTTCTCTCTCTCTCTCTCTCTCCTCTCTCTCTCTCTCTCTCTCTCTCTCTCTCTCTCTCTCTCTCTCTCTCTCTCTCTCTCCCTCTCTGCCTCTCTGCCTCTCTGCCTCTCTGCCTCTCTCTCTCTCCCCCCCTCGTGCGCCCAGCACCTGTGTAGGAGGGCGGGGCGGCGGTCGGGCGGGGTTACCGTGCCGCGTGACCTTTCACCTATCAGCAGCGAGGGGCGACCTCTGACCTTACCTGACCGTGAGGCGCTTCCAGTGGCTATGTCGCCGTGGATGCACCGATTTCAAGTGTGTTTTTATAGGGGAAGGAGTGGAGGATCATTGAACACCGCAGTATCGGCATTCATTACCGTCATAGCTGGTTGTTTTTTGTTTATTGCGGGTCTTTGTGGTATCCAATACATGACTGGCTTTTAAACCACAGTGTCATACAATGTGCAACCGAGGTAAAAGATAGGTAAAAACATATTAAAGTTCACAAACATTGAAAAGGTTAAAACACGTAAAAAAGACATTGACACACTAGCATGAAAAACTCGAGACTGTGGAGCTGAGAGGTCGGTGCGCAGTATGTAAGTGGGTGGCAGTCGCCATCGCCGACAGGCTACTTCACCGACATTAGAGACGCTTTCACACGCTTTTGACTGACTTTGTCGTTTCCGCGAACATTGTTATGCAGCCGGCTCCAGTTGCGCACAGCGCGGACAGGCACGCACATCCTGGTCGCTTCCAGGCGGCATCGGAGCGTTTCTACTATGGACGTCAAACCGCTTGAGACCCCACTTTTTTGCGATTATTTTAAAATGCGTCAACTCTCGTTGACAATATTCTGGCAATGTGTGTTTCAGAACCTGCCGAAACTTTTATTACTAAGGTATTTTGACGCCAAACGATTATGAAAGGTACTTCTCATTCACTCGTAATGTTAAATTTCACGGAACGAATCTGCTGTTTGGGTAGAGGCTACGCGCTCATGGGGCGGAGCCACGTAATGACGTCAGCGCTAAGCTCCGCCCTACCCCTCCGGCGCTCCTTGCCCGGCGACCGGTCACTCGCGTCCCTCGCTCCATTCAGGCTTGATGGTGGGCGGTAGCTGGTAGCGGTAGCGGGCGCTGGTAGATGGCATTTAGAGCAGATGGCGCTGGTGGCGGGGCTCGAGTGTGGCCGAGCGCAAGCCTCTGCCCGGGCCTGAATTGACCTTAGCATTACGAGTGAATGAGAAGTACCTTCCATAATCGTTTGGCGTCAAAATACCTTAGTAATAAAAGTTTCGGCAGGTTCTGAAACATGCATTGCCAGAATATTGTCAACGAAAGTTGACACATTTAAAAAATATCGCAAAAAAGTGGGGTCTCAAGCGGTTTGACGTTCATAGTAGCTGTCCGGCAGTTGATGCTCGCGTGGTTCGCTGGGATACGTCGGCTCTATCCTGGTGTTATGCCCTATGAAGCACCCCAGTCGGGCAAGCTATCCCATAGAGCACTTCGAATGATCGTCCTATGCTTGCTATGGGGCACGGCACTCCAGCGGATCATTCTATCTCATGAAACGTCCCCAGCTGGTCGTTCTACCTCATGACTATCGCACTGCAGCCGGCAGTGCTGTCCCCCGTTGCGCTCCAGCCTAACGCCCTACGTGGCAGACGGCCCATCGCTTGGCCCGGTCGTTTCGGAAAAGACGACGCTGTCCGCCCACGGCGTGTGACTCAGCCGACTTTCCTGTTGAGGCGCCCCCGGTGCGTCAAATGACCACTGGATAGTGAACACTAAGCAGGAACAGGGAAATCGCCGGCGACATGCGGGCCCGGCAGACCGGTCTTCGCGCACTGTTGCTTTGTATAAATAAGGTGGATATGTTGTGGGTGACCGATTGACTAAATCAGACGCAGATAAAATAAACTAGAAGTAATAAGATATCATTAATTACGGCGTTGTTATCCTTTTTCGTTATTTTTGTATTAATCTAAACAATAACACCAAATTTAGAGACGCCTGGTTTGCTGGGGTGCCCAACAACAAAATAAACCGTCAATGAAAACTGCTTCGTCGCAGCATTGAGAAGAGTCGTGTGAAGACTGGAACATGTTGAATATCAAGCCCCTTCTCTGACGTATCGGTAAGGGATCCATCGCCACCGTGCTATCTCCTGTGAGCATTGGGGCCTTACTACTGTAGGACTGCCTTTGGCCGCTCGGCGGGTTGATTCTAGTCAGTCCATTGTGACCAGTCCAGTGTCCACCCCACCCGAGTCATCACTGGAAATGAATGAACACAATGGGCACAGTGTTTTCCCGGCGAACCTCGGGTGAGCCCGTGTGGACGGTGAGGTTTCCATTCTGCGGTTTCCAGCGCTTCCATGCGGTCAGACATCGGAACTTTTTACATTGAATAGCTCTTGAACTGAAAACTGGCCAGTGGTGTACCTACAATTACACGGAGAGGCAGCTTCTTGCTCTGAAGCTTCCAAGGGAGATGCAATAACTACAGTACGTGACACTTTTTCAGTTTAAAAGTGAACTGATCAAAGCTAGGTTTGTGCGGAGCAGTGCAGTATTACCTATTACCTAGCATCTGTAGGGATTTGTTTTTTTTATACGCGCCGTGATGATACCGGTGATGGGCCGTGTGTTCCAGCGGACATGGTGCGTACCAACGCCGACGAGACGGACGGCATACTGGTGATGACGACCAAGACGCTGGTCATCAACTGCTCTACCACGTCTGACGTGCCCAGCAACACCGTCACTTGGTGAGTTTCCGACACGGGCACACTTACTCAGCGGTCGTGGTAGGGTCGCACTTGGTCACGCCATTGGGCTAGGACATTATTTGGACGCTTGGTCACAGTTCAGCGTTTGGTCACACTACGGACTCACTCACTGGGAGGAGGGGGGTGGGGAGCGGGGGGATATACGCCTAGAGATGCTCTGGTCGTGTTGTATTCGTCTGGTTTGATCGTTTGTCGAAAGGTTGTATGCTTTATCGCATGTCGGGGTCTGTCTAGCAGTGTTGGAAATTCTTAACGTTCCTGTGTGCCTCTGTGCCTGTGATTGTCTCTGTGCTGCACTCTGGTATTGCTGGTTTCTGTTATGCTCTTGTATGATGTGTAATTTAGAGGGTACGCATCACACATGCCCTGTGGTCGGTGCAGTGTGCACTGTGCGTATTATAGAACGACTCCGTTATAGCTCATTCGCCCCAGATGAATAGCCTGATTTCCTGTCGTGCAATCAGCTATGCCAATGATATCAAAGCTTGACCGAAGATCCGTCAACTGATCTAGTGCAACGGGAGCTGATCTAGGCGGTCATTTACCGTCCCAATGTGTGTCCGACGTTTGTACGTGTGGAAGTGTGATCGGCCGGTATCTGCACTTGACTGGGTTATCTGCGGCCCTACGGGATGACCGCCGTGAACAGACCATTGAGAGCCGCTATCAGGGCCCGGTCTGGGTCGATTGATATTGGGTACCACGTGCTACTGACACAGCCCGGGCCTCCTCGTGGCTGCACGGAGACGCCACGTGCCAGAGGCACCACACGTGTGTGCGTGTGTACGGGGAGGGCGGTGGGCATGGCACTGATCGCACTGGCGAAAATTGAATGCCTTACATGGTGTGACTGGGTCCAATTGCTGACCGAGATGGGATTTTGCGACATATCGTACCGGGACGATCGGCTGATGCTCGATATGTTGTAACTACATAGTTGTTTCTAGGTTTTATTGCGGCGACTCGGGGTTTTGTTAACCCGCGCCCCACTGGGGTCTGCGTATAACGCGCCCTACTGGGGGGGGGGGGGGCTATTCATAGCCCCCCCCCCTCCTAACTCCGAAACTACTGGGCCGATCGTCAAAATTCAAACGGCGTCTGATAGCCCCGGAAAAACTGTCGAGCGAAACCTAATTTCATTGACCTCGAGGTCACCGATGACGTCACAGGTCAGGTCAAAGTAAAAATTATTAGCATTTTGGCTTCTTCACGTTTTGGGCTCTGACCGCCGTCTTACAAGTCCGATCAGGCTCCTTTTGGTTCACACACTCGTGAACAGATGCTCTAGATACTCTGAGGGTACCAAACTTGTACTTTGATTTTCAGGTCAAGGTCAGGTCATCACAGGTCACGAAAATATTATATCATCCGTCGGTCACGTGACATATGTTTTATGGTCCATTTAGGCCAAACATTTCGAATTTGATGTCGTCTGTGTCATTTGAGGTCATTTTGAGTCAAATTTAGCTCAGGTCAGGTCACTTTCAGGTAAAAAAAGGTCAAATTTTAAAGTTATAATTTTTCAACAAAAAAGGTGTCTATTGGATGCAGTTTGAGCTCAGGAACACGATGGTGCTATTTATATTGGCGTACGATGTCAAATTCGTGCTGAAAAATTGATTTGAAAAATTAATAATTGTTAATTTTTTGCAATAATGCGTATAACTTGGCCATTTTTGAAGATATTTAGCTAAAACTTGCTAGAGTTAGTCATAATAATGCGTTCTATCACATATATTCCGTTTTTTTCGAAAAGTCAAAAACTTTTGAAAAAAAAATGTAAAAATATAAATTTTGAATTTTATTATATAAAATTTTCGAAATTTTCAAAATTTCGAAAATCCGAGATAGCAGTTTGATAGCGCAATCTATTTTGAGTCCTCTCATGCAAAGAAATTGGATCTAGCTGAAAAACTGAGCTCTTGGGAGCGATTGCCGTGGTTCAATGTTTTGCGTCGAAATCGGCCGAACATGACGTCACTCTGACGTCATTTCCGGCTGACATATGGTAGGCACGAAGTTCAAATTTTGACACAAGGTGTCAAATTGATGCAGCCGAAGGTGCTGAAAGTTTGGCGTCGATACGTCAAGCGGTTTGGAAGTTATTGCAGAAAAACGGGAGGGGGGGCTATAAATAGCCCCCCCCCAGTGGGGCGCGGGTTAAAGGGACCCTCCCACCTTCAAAAAAGTTAATGAATTGGCACGAAAGTGATGTCGCTCGGTTCAGAAGGAGCGAAAACGAATATCTACCAAATTTCATCGAAAAATATTCACCGGTTTTCAAGATATTAGACTTTTACTTTTGTTTACTTTTTGGGATCTCCGCTGTTCCTAGCGACTTTATTTGAAAGTGCGGCATTTGTTGCGCGCAAAGCAGCATATACCACCGCGTGCTACCAAACGTTTTAGTAAAAGATTTAAAAATCGTTAGATCTCCGCTGACGTCACAAATTCTAAGGGGGCATACCAATGCACTAGCCCCTTAGAATCCGAAAACTGCAAGTTTGAAATTCCATATCTCCGAATTAAAGCATTTGTCGATGTTGTGAGCAGTGGCGTACGCACATACAGGACATTCCGTGCATGCCCTGTCCCTTTGGCTCATCGTCCCCGGCGCCCTCAGTGACTGGCGCCCCTCTGTCCAGTGTTGGCGCTCCTCCAGTCGATAGCGGCGCGCTTCTAGTTGATGGCGAAGCCCCTCTGTCTAGTATTGGCGCTCCTCTGGTGATAGTGGCGCCCTCCTAGACGATATGGTGGGCCGGTGGCGCCCCTTTGTCCAGTATTGGCGCCCAGGCGCGGATCCAGGGGGGGGGGGCGACGGGGGCGGCCGCCCCCCCCCCGCCATCCGAAAAAGGCGCCCATATCCCGCGGCAGAGAGGGCGCCCCGAGCAGAAGAGCGGCGACACAGCAAAGGTTCAGCAGAAATAGGGCGCCTCCAGCAGAAGTTGGGCTCACCAAGCAGGAGAGTGACGCCCAATTGCCTATTCCCAGCAGATGAGAGTCGCCCCAGCAGCAGATGGGCGCCCCCAGCAGAAGAGGGCGTCTCGTTACAAGAATATAAAATACCTTCTGTTCAAGAGGGGCGCCCCTGGCAGCGGAAGGGCACCCTTAGCAGGAGACGTGTCCCCCTGAAGAGGAGCGACGCCCCAGCAAAAGGAGAGAGGCGCCCCCATTCCGAGAAGAGGGGCGCCCTGACAGCAGCTGGGCGCCCCAGCAAAAAAAGGAGCCCCATAATAAGAAAATGGGTGCCACTGGCAGAAGAGGGGCGCCCCAGCAGAAGACAGGGGTCTCCAGTAGGAGACGGGCGCCCCAAGCAGAAGAGGGGCGCCCCAGCAGAAGAGAGGCGCCACAGCAAAAGTTAATCAGAAATAGGCAGCCTCCAGCAGAGGTTGGGCCCGCCAAACAGGATATGGGCGCCCCATTGACAATATCCGGCAGAAGACAGACGCCCCAGCAGCAGATGGGCGCCCCCGGTAGAAGAGGGGCGCCCCATTACAAAAAGAAAAGGAGTATATTCTACCAAGAGGGGCGCCCCTGACGACAGCGGAAGGGCAACCCCAGCAGAGGGGCGGTGCCACAGTAAAAGGAGAGGTGTGCCCCGCTCCGAGCAGCAGAGGGTCGCCTCGCCCCAGAAAAAAAAAACAGGAGCCCCATAAGAAGAAAAGGGGTGCCTCTGGCAGAAGAGAGACGTTCCCCGCAGTGGAAGGGCGCCCCCACAAGAGTGGCGTCTCCAGCAAAAGAGAAGTGCCCCCTGCAAGAGAGGGGCACCCCACCAAAAGTTGGGCAGAAGTATGTTTTCGGCAGAAGTGGGGCGCCTCCAGCAGAATTTGGGGTCGCCAAACTGGAGAAGGCCGCCCTATTCACAGTAGAAAAGACTCCTTAGCAGCAAAGGGGCGCCCTAACAGAAAAGGTGCACTCGTAGTAGAAGTGGGACGCATCAGGAAGAAGAGGGGCACTTCTAGCAGAAGATGGGCGTCCCAGATAAGTGGGCCGCCTACAGCAAATTGGTCGTTCTTAGAAGGAAGAAATGAGGCGACTTAAGCAAAGTGGGTCTCTCCATAATGGATTAGGCGATCCAAGCAGAGGTTGGGCGCCCCCGGGAAGTGAGGCATACCAGCATAAGTGAGACGCTTCCAGAAAAAGGAGGGGGCATCACCGGGAGAAGGAGGACTGCACCAGTAAATGGAGGTCACCTTTTTGCTAATATCTTTTCCTAGGGTAGCGGTGCCCATCTACGACCCGTGCCGTGCTGGTGGTCTGAGTTTTCCGTGTCCTGCTGGGGAGAGGGGGGGGGCACACTCCCTCGTCTAACTCGGCTCCTGGGCCGCGTAGTGACACGCGATAAGCGGCATTTGAAGGATCGTCAAAAACAGGACGAAAACAAAACGGTCATTTTTTAGGTCAGGTCGAATGTCAGGTCACCAGTGGTCATCAAAGGTAAAATGTTGCCTGTTTCAACATTTTTCCGTTTTCGAAGCAGCGGCACATAACTCGGAAACCAATAGAGCTGTAGCGCCGCAGAAAAGCGCATTCGATAGCCCCTTTAAAGGTGTTTCTGCAAGCTGCGCTCAGATTTGACCTCAGGTCAACGGTTTAGCCTTCAGAGGGCAAAAGACTCTAAAAATAGCCTTTTTACGAACAATATTTTCCTGCAATAACTTTTGACTCAAGAGAGTCTCGACATTACGTTTGCCAGCATTGCGTTTCTGTCGTCGAGACACGTCGAACAAACTAAAGGTTGACCTTATGAAGGGTAATTTTGAGAATTTGACCTCAGGTCAAGGTCATGACCTGACCGGAAAAGGTCATGCTGTATAGCAGTCGATGCGTATCGTCGAGCTGAACACAGCTGAGGTGTTTTTATCGCTCTAGCTTGAATCTATCAAAAGTTATTAAAAAAAACTGCTGCGGACCTTTCATGACATGGGATGACCTCTGGGACATAATGAGTGGTCACACTAGGTGCAATGTTCTTATTC